TTTTGAAGGATACCGCTGAGGTTCTTAAGGAGGGGATGGTATGTGGTTACCAGAGGGACCCTGCCGCTGTTGTCTTTCTCCCTGTAGCGTAATAGGTTTGCCTGTCGCAGATATATATATATATATATATATATATATATATATATATATATATATATATATATATATATATATATATATATATATATGTATGTATATAAAGAGTGCCTATGACACAGAGGCAAGTCTAATTGAACTCAGAGTTATTGAGGATTATTAAAGAACTTTTGATTTTTACTGTTTTATAATGCTTTAATTATACGGAAGAACTGTTAAACCTCGCTCTAAAATTGAGATTTTATCCCTTTATGAAGAATTAATGGGATTTTTAAACTTCTATGGGAGAAAAAAAATCCCATAGGATACCTTTTCTCCCATAGGATAATGGTGGGATATTGGTTAGGAGAGTAATCCCACCATTGTCCCATAGGATTTCCTGATTGCAGGTATATCTTTTTACCTGGAAGATAATCAGGTGTAAATTTTGGTTCATGTGTTAAGATTTATAAAATCGCACCAAATGGCATAAATATTTGAGATGTATCTTTTTAAAAGTGGTTGGTGAAAGTCCGGAAAATGTCCTGTCCGAAGTTAAATGTCACACTGTTAAAGACAACCGAAACCAAGCAAAAAACTACAAACAAAAAGTTGGATGAAATTTCGTTCAAACTAAATAAGCTTGATCTCATAGAGCTAAAGTTGAGCAGTGTTGAAAGCAGAGTGTTTGCTTTAGGAATTCGAGTTGACGCCATTGAAAAGAAAAATGAGGAACTCGAGAAGAGTGTGTCGTTTGTATCTTCAAAATTTGACACTGACTTTAAAAAGATGGAAGGATTATTACTTGAAATAAGAAAAAGATTTTGCAAACAGGACAAAACAATACGAGAAATAAATGATCAGATGATAAATGAAAAAGTGAATATAACAGGAGCGGAAAAAACAATTATCATACTATCTCGAGGACTAGAAAAACTGCATAAGGACCGTGAAAATCTACAGGGGAAGATAACTGACCTACAGTATAGATCGATGAAAATGAATCTGGTCTTTACTGGACTAGGAAAGGAATTTCCGAGAGAAGACACAGAATGGAAGCTTAGACAATTTTAATCCATTGAACTTGGAATTGAAACATATATCGACATTTCGAATGTAGATCGCTTCGGGCGCTTTACCCGAAACACTGCGTATGGTTAAAATTCAATATTAATAAGAAAAGGTTAAATAAATCATTACCTTTAGGTGCTATTTATATACCACATGAAAATTCAAATAGGTATCTTGTGATGTTTTCGAAGAATTGGAAGACGAATATGTTTGTTTTTCTAATGAGGTTGTCTAATTGGTGATTTTAATGAAAGAACTGGGATAGACCCAGATAACACTACAAGCTATGACACCTATTCAGATTTTTTACCCGAAAGTTTATATGTATTAGACTTATTACAAATTCCACTTCAACGAGCATCAAAAGATCTAGTAAAGAATAATATTGGCAATCTTTTACTCAATTTCTGCAAACATATTGATCTTTTTATTCTAAATGGTCGTATGGGAAATGATAGAGGTACTGGTAAAACTACATGTAAAGATATTAGTGTCATAGATTATTGCATAGGTATCACTGTTACCTATGTTTGACTGTTGTTAAAAAAATTGAAGTTCATGATTTCACAAATCTGTACTCAGATTGTCATAATCCCATATATGTAGAACTGTCATTGACAATTAACAAAGGGGAGCGAAACACTATTAATGAAAAAACCTGTAATAATGATCGAAAAGAAAAAGCGAAAGGTTGGAATGATGACTGTGTGTGTGTAACAAATTTTTCTTGATAAACTAGATCAGAAAAGTAATGAAATTAACAATTTATGTGGAATTCTTGACAACATTAAAGAGGAAGAAATCGATTTAGAATTTATTGACAAAATTGTAAAAAGATACATGTAGCATTCTCATATCGAGTGCAAAAGAAACAATTTCGATAAAATAAATAATAATCGTATTAAAACAAAGATAGAATCTCACAAACCATGGTTTATAATAGAATGTAAAAAAGCACGACATTCATTTCGTAAAGCTAAAAGACTCAATAAGAGATATAGACGTAAAGATCTTAATGATGATATGTATGGTAAAGAAAAAAATATTTAAAAAGTGTTAAAAATATGTGTAAATGATCATAAAAATCAAACAAAACAAAAATTAAAAACTCGGATCAACAAATCGGAAAAAGTACTGGAAATAATAGACTCAGGGGAAAAAACACAGAAAAAATGTAAATGTAGCTGCTGAAGAATTTAATGATTTTTTTTAAAGATCTGAATACAGAAAACATTAATGAAATACCTGACTATGTTTTATAATCTGAGGATCTAAATATTCTCTCTAATTTACAATGCAATGAGTCTATTAATGAACCGATAACAAATGATGAGAAATTATACAAAGTATAAAACGTACTAAAAGAAACAAATCAAGCGGGAATGATGACATATATAATGAATACATTAATAGCTCATGCAACATAATGGTGCCTCTCTATCAAAAGATGTTCAACAATTTTTTTAACAGTGGTTGTTTCCCCTCCGAATGGTTGTGTGGTGAAAAAAATCCTATCTATAAAAATAAAGGTGATTGTTCCGAACCCAAAAATTACCGCCAAATAACTTTATTTAGTTGTGTTTGAAAGCTATTTACATCTTTTTAAAATAGAAGACTTAATAGTCATTCAGAAGATTTCAAACTAATACAAGAAAATCAAGCTGGATTTCGTAAAAACTATGGTACGCCTGATCATATATTTATATTACATACAATCATCGAAATATTTAAAAAGAATTTTTTGTGCATTTATTAATTTTGAAAAAACCTTTTGATTCTGTGTGGGTAATAGGACTCTGGAACAAAATATTATTTGATTGTAATATAGATGGAAAATGTTTTAGAATTATCAAGATATGAATCATGGTATCAAGGCAAAACTAAAAGTAAATGGTGCTCTATCTGATACCATCCCTTGTCAACTTGGTGTAAAACAGGGTGAACATTTATCCCCTTTTCTGTTTTCTCTCTATTTAAATGATTTCGAATCATTGCTAACCTTGAATAACTAACTGGGGAGAAAATTTCTGAAATGATTGAGAATGAACTTCGTGTATATATAAAGCTTCTTGCTCTGTTATATGTTGACGACACTGTTTTATTTGCTGAAAACCCTGAGTCATTACAAAATATGTTGAATTGTTTTAATGAATATTTTATAAATGGCGGTTAAAAATGAATGATGACAATACAAAAATAATGATTTTTCGAAGAGGTCGAATAACACGGGATTTATATTTTACTTATAATGGTGTAAGTCTAGAGGTCGTTGACAGATGTAAATTTCGATGCAACAGTTATTAACTCCCCATTGCAACTGGGAGAGGCAATGGTCTCCAAAGAGAACAAATGACTTGCACTTTATGTGATCTTATTAAGATTAGTGATGAATTTCATTTTGATTTTGAATGCACACAAAAAGAAATTAAAGAGCTTGGGGCTAGGTTTATTTCAAATTTTCTCACATACAGACCAAATATAGAGAAATTTAAACAACTTTTTTCAATAACAAACTTTTCAATATTGAAAAAATTATGCAAATTTTTGTTGACTGATTTGAATCTTAACGATATTTTGTACTGTTTACTATACATGTAATTATATTATCTATCTATGTGTTTGTATCTTTTCCTACCTCCTCTCTACAATGGATGTTTGTACATTTATGAGAATAAAATCATTGTCATATTGTCAAAGCAGTGCTGGAGGTCACTAAATTTGGGTCTTTAACTGCTTAATTTCGTGCGGAAAAAGATGGTCGCGTGTCGTGATAGACAAGGAGTCGCTGAATGTAACTTTTATATGATCAAAATTTTCGGAAGGCAATTTTTCGATTCCGTATGACAGAAAAGTTGAAAAAAAAAACGTCAAGATGTTTGAACAGCAAGTATGCTGTTGATGGATTAATTAGTAAGACGTTTATCACACCTACTCAGAAGACATTCCAAGGAAAAGGCAAAAGATTTACTCGTGAATTTTGGCGCAAAATGATTATGTCACCTCTTTCTTAAAAGACAAATTCCAATCCCTCGTACTTTAGTATTTTATAAAGATCATATTTTAAAAAAAAATTCGATTATAAATACCAAATACTTTTCTTGCGAAATAAGGTGTCGTGAAAACTAAGCAATCTATAGAAGAAACGCAAATAAAGGTAAACATTGACATGTCTGTATTCTTCTGCTAATTGAATCCCTTACTCAAGGATGCTTTGCAGTAATTTTTGTTTTAAATAGAAGGGGTCAACTAATTCAGAATTTATTAATTTAACTCAGCGCCATATATCGGCGATAATCTAGTTTTGAAAAAGAAATTAAAGTAAGAAAAGTTAAGACAGAAGAGCTCACATGAGTATTTGGATATGTGAGTTAAAAGATGAACGACTGCATGAAGAGTGTATGAAATATATAGATATAAGGAATAGTGTTCAAGCTCAAAAATCCGTTAAACAATACAAAATTGGAGCAGAGCAAACACGGACCTCCAAAACAGAGGTGGGATCAGGTTCCATGGAGGAGTGAGCATCCCCTTCCGACCGGTCACACCCGCCGTGTGCTCCTTGTCATGATCGGGAAATAACGGAAAAATCCGTCGACAATTCAGTGTGTAAACATATATATATATAAAATAAAATCAATTTACCATATAGTATGTTGGTAAATATCAGATAAATGATATTTTTATGTTCTGGTTTCAATTTGATCGAACATTCACTATTAAGACGTATTTTGTAATTCCCCCCCCCCCCAAAAGTTAGAACTCGCTCTCTGTAGAATCAGAAACAGCTATTTTTTTGTTTTCGTGGAACATACATGTATTGACAATGTTGATTGTAATTTTTGCATGTATTTAGCTCAGAATTTTTCAAGAAATATCGTGCCTTCACCGGAAGATTCAAAATATCGGATTGCGTCCTTCAAATCAATTGCAATACAGTCCCCTTCTTTAAAATCCGAGGAATTTTCTTCTTCTGTATCTTGTGTTTGTATTAATTTCAGATTGCCTCCAAAAACTATTCCTATTGCAATTAAATCACGTCCTTTTTGTGTAAACACGACTGATCCACTATCACCTTCTTCGGAAAACTGTCTTTCTCCCTCCTCTGGCTTGATACACATCGCTTCAGTCTCACGGAGCCTCAGCAAGTTCTTACTTTTTAAATAACCTAAAGTTCTGTTTGTTTTTGCACCGAATTTGAAAACTTTTCGAAGGTGCAAAACGATAAGATCATCAGTACGCAGCTTCACATCAAACTGTGGCATTCTATACTGGATTGTATCGGCAATATCTGTATTTAGCAAAATTACAGAAATGTCTTTAAAATTTGCATCACGTGCCGATGTCTCCGGCCAAATGCATTTGCCGACCAACACGTTTTCCTTAGAAATTTCTAGCTGTATGTCATTGCCCTTTAGAGCTACATGTCCGGAAGAAATGCCGACAGACTGTCTTTGGTCTGCAATTAAACATTTAGCAAACATGCCAAGAGTTCCAGTTCTCCTTACTTGTACTGCCCTCATTTTGCATCCACCCTGTAATGCTGTAAATGGAACAATGTACGGTTTTTTCAAAAGCTGCGCAATGACCCGACCCTTGAAGGTTTTATTTATCAAACTTCGAACTTTCATAACCAACTCCGATACCTTAGATTCGATATCGCTTCCTGCAAATATTTTCAGCAATTTGTCGTATAAAGCATAACCAATTATGTTATAATCTGGGGTTGCCTCTCTACAAGAAAAGAATATATATATATATGTAGTCTTTTAAACAGGCACATAAAAAATACTTATCTTGTATATGAAAGCAGATAGTTTGATTGTAGGTGCAACAAAAACCTAAAGGTAATTTGCAGTAATTATATGAATGTGTACTTTGAATAATGGGAACCTTACTTCACAGCCTTATCAATTTTCTCCACAACTTCATCTCTAAGCTGAGATGTTTTTGCCGTGGTTCTATCCTTAATGTAGCCCCTGTAGTTTTTAAGCAGTTTCAGACAATGCGAATTTCGCCTTGTATTCGGTTTTTTGGAGAGTACAGCAGTGTATTCTGAGACTTGCTCCAACAAAATACTGTAGCACAAGTTATAGAACCCGTGGTTTGCTCCCTTCGCTCTGTGTATGATGTTGACCTTTCCTTTATCCTGATCAACTCTCTTCCGGACTTCTTTAGGCGTATCTTCCTCAAGAACAAAAAATGCTTTGTTGTTGTTGTCTGGTCTGAGTGTAGTAAGGAAACGAAATATATCCTGCAAAAATTAGAAAAAATCACAGAAAAAAAATATTAATTCTACCTAACTTAGTAAATCATGTGCAAGAAAAGTAAATTAAACTAACCTCCTCTAAACTGCTTTGTTTCAGACAAATCAGCAGCGGTTGTTGCCGTGGAAGATCTGAAAAACAAAATTTGATGTATAATTCAGGTTGTTTGTAAATATGGAAAGGGCATTTATAACCATATATAAAATTCGTACATGTTTATATTCTAGGGTCCGACTAATCGGTCAGAAAAATCAAAACCTCTAAAAATTTCTATAACCGGTTAGTTGAAAATCTCTCTCTCTCTCTATATATAAAAACTTTATAAAATAATATATCTATAGTAGCACGTTTAAAGTTGAAATGCGACAATCAACTAGTTACCTACAGATAGAGTTTCATATGACGCTGTCGCTATCAAAAAGATGCACCCGCGATTTAATCATTGTACATGTAGCCTTGCATACTAAAATGAAAGTTAACGTACTCCCGTATAAAAAAAATAATCCATTTTTGTTTCAATTGATGCAAAAAAACTGTAAATCTTTAATGGTTCCACAGGCAATGACAGATTGGCGACATTTAAAGAGAGAAGTTTTTCCAATTTTTCAATCAAGAGTACAGAAACCTAAGACAAAGCATAAACTTATAAATAACACACAAAAAAATGCAAATTAATTCCGAAGCGCCTGCACGAGATTTCATACTTGGTCCTCTAAAAGGACAACCATTTGATTCTGGAAGGGGGGGGGGGGGCGTTCCTGGAAGAGTGTGATAATAAATACTGTCCTCGAAAATGTTGAAAATAATTGTCAATGAACGACGGCGGACAAAAATGGATAGCAATAGGTCACCTGAGTGACTCAGGTGACCTAAAAGAAGGATCGAAAAAGAAAAGTGTCGTATATCTACTAAGAAATGTTCCTAAAAAGGGCATTATTTTGAACAAAGATGGATTTCTTACTGCTTTAGGCCTGTAATTAATTATCTGCAGAAACGTAAAGATATATTTAATGATATTGTCTCGTCAACAATGTTAAAAATTTAATTCCTCGCGCTTTCATCTAGTAAACGATAAAAAAATGACAGTAAACTAATTATGTCTGTGTTCAGACAACCCGACTTTTTTTCAGTGGTTAAATGATACAGTTATAGCACAGAATTTACACAGCTTACAATTTGGTCAGTAGAGCAAATGTGAAGTTGCCAGTCATCAATAGTAAAAAAATTAAAAAGTTTTAACAGTAGTGAAAGGAATGCTTATACCTACACCTGGCACCTGATCCCACCTCTGATGATTTTCAGAAGTCCATGTTTGTTCTACTACTGCTATGTATTGTTTCATTGGACTTTTGAATTTGATTACTGTTCGTTATCTCCATATTTCACTGATATGACTATGGTTCGATTCTGTTTGCAATAAATAGTGAAATAAACTTTTTTGTAGTGAATTCTGGTTATCATAGTTTCATTTTACTTCTTTTTCCAAATTATCAGTAAAAAATGAGATTATTATTCATAATAATTATGAAACAACTTTTTACCAAGTACTCAGGAAAAGCTTGTGAGTAACCAGTTACAAAAAAATTAACCGACTGTCATCCCTGATAAATACCACGACATTTTGCTTCATTTAATGATAAAGTAAAAGTTAGAAAGGATAAATGTAAAAAAAAAAAAAAAACACAAGTCTCGGGATTTTGAATCAGGATAACGTTGATCATAACTACATGTAGGTACCTTTTTTAAGGTTTGTTCTTGGAAGTTCTGTGCACTTCGGCAAAGAAGAAAATAAATCCAAGCAGAATTCCTCGACATCTTCATCAGTATCTGTTATGAGTATAAAACTGTCGTCCGGTTCATTCAATTCGTCACTCAAACCCGGCAGTTTCCATATATACTTCAGTCCATCAAAGACATACTGGTATGTGTTTAATTCAAAAGGCCCGAATTCAAAGGCAATTCTCAGGACCTTTATTTTTTTCTTAAATTTTCTCAGCCTGTAAAAGAAATATTCATTTTTAAAAAATGCATTACAGTCAATGAGGTGCAACGCTCAACTGAGTCACTTTACTTTTCTGTCAAATGAAGGTATATATATGAATTAATTAGAGAACTGTGACAATAATTTTTATGCCCCGCCATGAATATGTCCGGGGCATATAGTGTTTGTCATGTCCGTCTTCCGTCCTTCTGTCCTTCCGTCACACTTTGCGTTTAGCTCTGTTCAAAGCTCAGTTACAAATATTTTTATCAACTTCATATGCTAATAGATATTTATGAGAACTATGCAACTGCATCAACAATTTTTGACCTTGTCCTTTCCTTTGACCTTGACCTCACTTTTCTTAAATTAGTGTTTAGCTCAGCTTTTAAGATACCATTCAAGATAGTGTAATCAAACTTCATATGTTGATACATACTGATGTAAGCTATTCAACTGCATCAACATTTTTTGACTTTGACGTTTTTTTTTGTTTACCTTGACCTCACTTTTCCTTAATTAGTGTTTAGCTCAGTTTTAAAGATAACATTCAAGATATTTTTAACAAACTTCATCTGTTGATACATACTGATGAGAGCTTTTCAACTGCATCAATATTTTTGGCCTTGACCTCACTTTTCTTAAATAAGTTTTTAGCTCAGTTTTAAAGATACCGTTCAAGATCGTGTTATCAAACTTCATCTGCTGATACATACAGATGATAGCTATTCAAATGCATCAACATTTTTTTGACCTTGACCTTTCCTTTGACTTTACCTTTCTTAAATTAGTGTCAAATTTCATATGCTACTACATACTGATACTCATGTCCGTCTTCCGTCCTTCTGTCCTTCCGTCACACGTTGCGTTTAGCTCTGTTCAAAGCTCAGTTACAAATATTTTTATCAACTTCATATGCTAATAGATATTTATGAGAACTATGCAACTGCATCAACAATTTTTGACCTTGACCTTTCCTTTGAACTTGACCTCACTTTTCTTAAATTAGTGTTTAGCTCAGTTTTAAAGAAACCATTCATAATATTTTTATCAAACTTCATATGCTTATACATATTGATGTAACCTTTTCAACTGCATCAACAATTTTCTACCTTGACCTTACCTTTGACCTTGACCTCACTTTTCTTAAATATGTGTCAAACCTTATATGCTGATACATACTGATGTAAGCTATTCAACTGCATCAATATTTTTTCACCTTGACCTTTCCTTTGACCTTGACCTCACTTTTCTCAATTTGTGTTAAAATGTTGCATCACTAATATACCCTCGGCGGGGCATTCATGTCCTATGGACATATTTCTAGTCATTTCTTCTCATACAATTAATATATTAATTGATGATGGGGGTATTGCTTGTAAAGTAATATCTTGGCAATTTCTCGTCCCAATTCTCCTTTAGTTTAACAGGATAGAATATCTTTTCAAATGTGAGAATTTCTATATATTTTTCTACATCATGATTAGAAATGTTTTTCGCCCTCAATTCACTACATTGAATTAATTAATAATCATTTCAATTCGCCGAAATATGGCTGAAATATTGCCGAGTCGGCGTTAAAACAATAATAATCAATGTGTACTTTTTGTTTGATTTTGAAAACCAAACGGAGCCAAGGTAAATAAGAGGTCCTATTGGAAATGACAAAAAACATCATTAATGAACATAAATGTATTTTTGGCAATCGTCAGTACGAAGAGTTACGTCCTATTGCTCATCTCTAGGAGACTAATTTCAGAAGACTCATCGCTAGGGGCATCAAAAAACAGAAACAAAGGATGTGGTTTTAATTGCAGCTTAAAGTGTTTAAAGCACACCTCTCACTATTAATATTTGATGTACATGTATGTATGTACATTTAAGAACATTTGCAAGGTACCTGGCTTTCGTATAGAATTTTTGAAGAACTCTTGAGTAGGTGGAATCATTAATTGGTTAAATGTACCAGAATATAACATGTTTAGTACCAGTACTAATGGTACTAAACATGTTATTTTCTTGTACATTTAACCCACCAACTAGATGTTCTGGCTTAAAATGCAAATATAGAAACAAGACACCGATATACCAGCAACGTTCTTTATTTTTGAGTTACCTCACTTAGAATCTACTGTAGATTCCTTATTTTACGCGAGTACTTGATATCGCGAAATGGCCCAAGGGCGTCAAATCGCGAGAACAAAAATTCGCGAATCGTTGATTTATCTAAAGATTTTACATACATTAAAGCACTATAAAAATAAAAGCTAGTAATTTTATTTCGCGAGTGGTGCTTCTCGCGTAATTAGGCGATAACTTATTTTTCGCGTATATTTAGGAATCTACAGTATTATTATTCATAATAGTAAACACACCACATCTAATGTGTTCGGAACCTTTTATTTTTCGGTATTCTGCAAATTACACGTATAATACCCTAGGAGTTCGCAGTAGCTCTGTCGAGATTTAGTGAGACTACAGCGAGACTAAACGGATAAGGCAAATTGTTCATGGAAGTGTAGCTTGATCGGGATATCTTTTTTATCGTTCCTAATCTTAGTATTATTTTAGATAAATAAACAAAAAACAAAAAAAAAAAATTATTACAGTGTATTTTCAATTGATTTTCTCGCAACTCCAATTAATATTGTATCATAAATTAACGTGAACCACGTGTTCCAAGGAAAATGTGAACATGTGGCTGGACAACATACCTTACTATTCATTGAATGATTGGACAATTGTTGGTGGTAAGATCCGCTATGCACAATAATAACAATAGCCATAGAAGGTAAACAAAGGTTTGTCATTGTAGTAGCTATTACACATTTATTTTCTACCAGGTTATTGGCAACTTTGGAAAAATGGTAGCTTCTAAGTACCAATCTTCGCAAAGATGTGACAAATGCTGAGAATAGTTTCTAGGTCTTGTGAAGGAGGCGCTATTTAGTAAATGTCAAACCTTGAGGCTCTTCTGTTGCCTCTCCATGGCTTTGATTGCTACGAGAGGACAAACGAAATTCACTAAGACTGATAAGCACAATTCAATTGGGCTGCAAAGCCGTAACATTTTCTAATGGTTGTGTCTGAAAGCGTGTATAAAGGTCAAGTAACGTACCTTTTTCTGCTTTCATGATCTATCTCGAGTTTTGGTTCCTTGGTACTTCTAATATCGTCCTCGATGGAATCTGTCCCTTCAATTAAAAAGATAAAAAGATATAAATCTTTAAATTAATAATACATTTTCATGAATGCATCATATTTACCAAAATATAGCGATGTTTATCATAATTTTAAAAGTCGCTAAATATGCACTGTTCGAATTCTATTAAATGACTTTCTCCGATAGCATTATGAGGGTATACAATTATACACTTTTCATTCGTTATGCATTTGTTTGTTAAGCGTTGACATTTGCAATGACTGTTGTTCTAATTCCTGGCGTGCTATATTGGTACATACATTTGATAATTTTAACGCAACCGAGGAAAAAAAATGGTGATGTTACCCTAACATTAAAAAAATACTATAGTTAACTATAGATTACTATAGTTAACTTAAGTGATAACTTTGACACTATGAAAACTTTGATTTACTATAGTGATAACTTTGACACTTTGATTTACTATAGTGATAACTTTGACACTTTAATTTACTATAGTGATAACTTTGAAAACTTTGATTTACTTTAGAAATAACTCTGACACTATAGTGATCACTTTGAAATCTTTGATTTCCTATAGTGATCACTTTGAAAACTTTGATTTACTATAGTGATCACTATGACTCTATAGAGATCACTTTGAAAACTTTGATTTACTATAGTGATAACTTTGACACTCTGATTTACTATAGTTAACTATAGTAAACTATAGTTAACTATATAATTTTTTTGTTAGAGTAGACACGTACGTCCATACAAGTAAAATCCAGAGAAATACTCGAGAAATGAAGTCTAGCGGAGAGATGTATGTCGGACAAGAATAAAGTTCTTCCATTTACGAGTCGATTTTTGCTTTAACCTGTCCATTCCGGGCAACGAAATTTTAATCAAATAACAGAATGCACCTTGTAAACAAACCAACTCTTCCTTCAAATAAAGCTGTTTGCTCCAACAAATAGAGATATTTGAAATAAAATGATGAGTCTACCAGGAAGAATCCTAATAAAAGTTTCGTATAAGTGAGTGAAAAGTATTCAATCATTAGCTAAATAAGATTACCAAAGGTCATTATCCCAAACGTTTTTTTTTTTTGAATAATTTTTTGTTGTTTTTTTTTTCGAGGACAATTGTATATTAACACGTAATCACAATTATGTCAATATTATTAAAATTTGAGTGATACATACGTATTTTACAGTCGGATGAACTAAACAGATATGAATTAATATACACTCAAAGCCAAAATACATGTTCAAATCATAATTATTTTCATCACTAATCATTGAACGAAGAAAAGGGAACTAGCAATAGCTATAGTTATGCCGGAACATCGTTTTTATTCCACTTTTAGTCACGCCGCATCAAAAATGTTCCTCAATGTTACTTCCGGTAATATTCAATACCTTGTTTATATTGAAAACTTTTTCTTTTATCATTAACTATGTTTCTGTCATGCAAATTTCCTTTAAGTTGCAA